CGAGGTTGGGAGAGAAGGTCCAGCTCACAGAGAAGCTGCAGGGGCTGGAGACAGTGGGAGAGAGCTCCTCCAAAATGCCTGATGTGCCCGGGGCATCCCTCCTACCCTAGAACGGATGCCCTAGACAATGAGAACCGCTAAGGCTCTGAGCAGGGAATAGCACTGCGAAGCTGCGCTCCAGGAAACATTCATCTGCAGCTCCTGTGGTGGCTCACGCCTGGAATCCCAGCACTTTGGGAAGCCAAGGCGAGCAGGTCACCTGAGGTCAGGAGTTCGAGACCAGCCTGACCAATGTGGCCATACCCTGTCTCTACTGAAAATACAAAAATTAGCAGGGTGTGGTGGTACGCACCTGTAATCTCAGCTACTCAGGAGGCTGAAGCAGGAGAATCACTGGAACCCGGGAGGCGGAGCCTGCAGTGAGCTGGGATCACACCACTGCACTCTCCAGCCTCGGTGACAGAGCGAGACTCCATCTCAAAAACAAACAAAAAAGCCACATAATGAGGATGCGACAAATTTCATGGGTCTCTACTGCCATCTCCCCAGTTACGTGGAACTGAGGGCTGACCAAGGGGGATGGCTGTGGGAAGAGGAAAGAAGCAAGCCGTGGGCTCAACCCTTGCTAGTGAAGCAGGGACTGAGCTGCCTGGTGCCGTGGGGCTGGGCGCAGGGAAAAGCTTTTCTGGCTGGATGTTCACTCCTTGTTTGGGTGAAGATAATGTGTGTGCAACTGTCTCAGCTTCCCATCTCACAGGAGTTCCTAGTGCACTGCTGATCCCGAGGCTGTGCAGATCTGTGCTTAAGACACTCGTCTGTTCTCTGACACTCCTCCCTCATCTGTTCTCTGTTTTACTTACACTGGCAGAGGGGAGGATGAATATCCACGGCCCCTCATTTCCTTCATTTGGGTGATGGAAAGATGAAAACGTTTCAGCATCCCTTGTTGACATGTGAGCTGCAGTAAGGCCTAGAGAGTCCTCTACCCACTGAGAGCTGGGGCAGTGTGTGGCGGAGACAGAAGAGATGGGGGAACACCCCATGGACTCGTGTATCAGCTCAACTTCTCCCAAGCATTCCATTCCCCTGCGCAGGCCCCAAGTCTCAGAATCATCCTTGCCTCCCTTCTTTCTCCCTCTCCCTCCTCATCCAACCCGCCAAATCCTATCTTCACAATATGACCAGTCAACATACTGAGGACATTATGCTAAGGGAATAAGGCAGTCCCCAAAGGACCGACACTGTATAATTCCACTTCTCTGAAGTACCTAGGAGATTCAGATTCCTAGAGACAGAGAGTAGAATGTGGATGCCAGGGGCTCTGGGAAGGAGAAAATGGGGGGTTACTGCTTAATGGGTACAAAGTTTCAGTTCTGCAAGATGAAATGAGCTCTGGAGATGGATGGGGTGATGCGTGTGCAACAATGTGAATGTGTGTAATACCACTCAGTGTACACTCAAAAATGCTGAAGATGCTAAAGTTTATGTTATATGCATTTTTTATAATAAATAAATTACACGCTAAAGACCACCGACATCAAGTTATGATCTCTCATTGGACAAAGAGTGACACAGGGGAAGCATGGACGAATTCCCGCACTACCACAAACTATGCGGTTTAGTTTCCTGCATTTGGAGAAATCGCAGGGGTCAGCATACCTGGAGTGCAGGAGGTGAGCCTCACTCTGGGAAAACCATCTTCATGATCACGGTATCTCCCCTGCCAGGTAAGTATATTGTATGTCCTTTATCACAATTTAAAAAATACACCCACATATACATTTATCTATATCATCCATATCTATCTATATCATCGATATCTGTCATCAATATCTATATCATCTGTATCTACATCTATATCTATATCATCTATCTCTAGCGCTCCTCCTCCATGGCTACTGGCCTGGTCTAGGCTGCCTTTATCTGTCATCCAGATGATTGCAATGACGTCCTTCCTGGTCTTTGCCTCCATAACTATGTTCCCAACATGTAGTCATAGTGATCTGAATAAAACATAAGTCAGATGTGTCACTGTTCTGCTCACAAGCCTCCATCTGGCCTCTTTCTTGGAGTAAAAGCCAAAGCACTTACCATGACCCCTTGGGGCTGTCCAGGCTGGCTGTCGAGATCCCTCTGGCATCACCTCCTACTGCTCTCCTCTGACTCTGCAGCCGCAGCGGCCCGTTGACTTCGCTGTTCCTCACGTAGACCACGCCGAGCGCACTGCTGCCTCGGGGCCTTTGTTCCCGGCATCCCCTCGGCTCTAAATGCTCTTCCACACAGCCTCCTGCCCAGGGCTCTCACTTCCTGCATGTCCCAGCTCAGATTTCCTCTTAGCAATGAACCTTCCCCAAATACCCTAGGAAATAAGGATGCCCCTTGCCCCACCCCACACTCTGTCCTACCTGCCCTGCCCTTATCAATTCCTGTCTATTTCTGCTAGAATGTAAGTTCCCGGAGGGCAGGTCTCCCTCCGTTTGGTTGGCTGCTGTATTTCTGACACCCAGAGCGGGGCCTTGCTCCTAGGCACTCCATATAGAGTTGCTGAATGAGTATATTGAGACTTCCGTTCCTTCAGGCAATAAATCGATCAGAAAGACAGACGCCACTGTAGGTATTTCAAGCGAGAAGAGATTTTTCTCTTTTTCTTGTGAATTTTTGTGGGTGCGTCACATGTGTGTGTATTTGTGGAGTCCAGGAGATGTTTGGTTCGGGCACGCCCTATGAAAGCACATCACGGAGAATGGGGTGTCCATCCCCTTAGGCATTTGTCCTTTGAGTTACAAACAACCCAGTTACACTATTTTAAAATGTACAGTTAAGTTATTATTGACTATAGTCACCCTGTTGTGCTATCAAATAGTAGGATTTCTTCATTCTTTTAAAAAAAAAATTTTTTTTTTTTACCCATTACCATCCCCACCCCCCTAGTCCCCTTCCCAGCCTCTGGTAACCATCCTCCTACTCTCTCTGCCTGTGAGTTCTATGATTTTAATTTTGAGAATATGTGATGTTCGTCTTTCTGTGCCTGGCTTATTTCACTGTATAGAATGATCTCCAGCTCCATTCATGTTGTGGCAAATGACTGGATCTCATTGTTTTTTATGGCTGAATAGTACTCCATTGTGCATATCTACCACATTTTCTTTATCCATTCATCTGTTCAGGAACACTTAGGTTACTTCCAAATCTTGGCTATTGTAAATAGTGCTGCAACAAACACAGCAGTGCAGACATCTCTTCAATATACTGAGTTCCTTTCTTTCAGGTATATACCCAGCCATGGGATTGCTGGATCATACGGTAGCTCAACTATTAGTTTTCTGAGGAGCCTCCAAACTGTTCTCTACAGTGGTTGTGCTAATTTACATTCCCACCCACAGTGTACAAGGGTTCCCTTTTCTCTACATCCTCACCAGCATTTGTTATTGCCTGTCTTTTGGATGTAAGCCATTTTAACTGGGGTGACATGATATCTCATTGTAGTTTTTTGTGTTTTTTTTTGGAGACGGAGTCTTGCTCTGTTGCCCAGGCTGGAGTGCAGTGGTGCAATCTCAGCTCATCGCAACCCCTGGGTTCAAGTGATTCTCCTGTCTCAGCCTCCTGAGTGGCTGAGATTACAAGTGCATGCTGCCACACCCAGCTAATTTTTTTGTATTTTAGTAGAGACCAGGTTACACTGTGTTACCCAGGCTGGTCTCAAACTCCTGAGCTCAGGCAATCCACCTGCCTCAGCCTCCCAAAGTGCTGGGATTACAGGCATGAGCCACCGCGCCCAGCCCTCACTGCAGTTTTGATTTGCATTTATCTGATGGTCATGGTGTTGAGCACCTTTTCATGTGCCTGTTTGCCATTTGTATGTTTTCTTTTGAGAAATGACTCTTCAAATCTTTTGCCCATTTTTTGATCAGATTATTAGACTTTTTCCTATAGAGTTGTTTGAGCTCCTTATATATTCTGGTTATTAATCCCTTGTCAGATGGGTAGTTTGTAAATATTTTCTCCCATTCTGTGAGATGTCTCATCTCTTTGTTGATTGTATCCTTTGCTATGCAGAAGCTTTTTTACTTGATGTGATCCCATTTGTCCATTTTTGTTTTGGTTGCCTGTGCTTGCAAAGTATTGCTCAAGAAATTTTTGCCCAGACCAATGTCCTGGAGATTTTCCCCAATGTTTTCTTGTTTCACAGTTTTGTCAGAGGCATTTGAATCAGAGCAACTCCATCTTGAATAGGATCTTGGTAAAATGAGGCTGAGGCCTACTGGGCTGCATTCCCAGACAGTTAAGGCATTCTAAGTCACAGGATGAGACAGGAGGTCAGCACAAGACACAGGTCATAGAGACCTTGCTGATAAAACAGGTTGCAGTAAAGAAGCCGGCCAAATCCCACCAAAACCAAGATGGCGACGAGAGTGACCTCTGGTCGTCCTCACTGCTACACTCCCACCAGTGCCATGACAGTTTACAAATGCCATGGCAATGTCCGGAAGTTACCCTATGTGGTCTAAAAAGGGGAGGCATGAAGAATCCACCCCTTGTTTAGCACATCATCAAGAAATAACCATAAAAATGGGCAATGAGCAGCCTTGGGGCTGCTCTGTCTGTGGAGCAGCTTTTCTTTTATTTCTTCACTTTCTCAATAGACTTGCCTCCACTTTACTCTCTGGACTCTCCCTGAATTCTTTCTTGCACGAAATCCAAGAACCCTCTCTTGGAGTCTGGATCAAGACTCCTTTCTTGTAACAGTCCGAGGTCTTAGATTTAAGTCTTTAATCCATTTTGATTTGAATTTTGCATATGGTAGGAGATAGGGGTGTAGTTTCATTCTTCTGTGTATGGATATCCAGTTTTCCCAGCACCATCTTTTGAGACTGTCTTTTCCCCAATGTATGTTCTTGGCACCTTTGTCAAACGTGAGTTAACTGTAGGTGTGTGGATTTGCTTCTGGGTTCTCCATTCTGTTCCATTCGTCTATGTGTCCTTTTTTATGCCAGTATCATGCTGTTTTGGTTACTATAGCTCTGTAGTATAATTTGAAGTCAGGTAATGTGACTTCTCTGGTTTTCTTCTTTTATCAAGCAAGGAGAGATTTAGGGATCTAGGAATTAGGGTTTGCAAAATCACTGGAAGGGTAGACGTGCAAAGGCTCAGGAAAGCCATTCATTGCTCTCAGGCCAACCAACAGCTACAAGAAAAACAAGTTTCGGAACCTGCAGAAATCATTGCCAGGGTCACATTTGCCTGCAGTACCAAGGTGGGATTCAGTGGGGAAATGCTCAAATGCCAGGGCAAACTCATGCTTGCCATGTTTGCCACCTGTTGAAGGGGGAGCAGCAAGCCGGCTTGCCTCTCTTCTATCTTCCAAATAACACTCGAGTGCCTCTCAGTGGCCCAATCTAAGTTGGAATGCTCCTAGTTGTTATACGGGGAAATGTAATCCCCAGGCTTTCCACTCTCCAATACAGAGGTGGCACACCAGAGTGGAGAAGCAGCCGACGACCCAACAGAGGCAGGAAATGCCACCCTGTGTTCTCTTCTTGCTTTCCCCGCAGTTATCCTTTCTGGTGGAAAGAGACTCTCCAATGCAGATGAATTCCAAGGATTGAGGTCTGTCAGATTTCAGAGTCCACATGTGGAGGGAATGTCTACCTCAAATTAGCAAAAGGTAATGATTATAGCTTCAGTGTATTGAGCTGTATATGTGTCCAGTACTATTCTAAGCCTTTCATATAAATTACCTAATTTAGTCCTCACGAGGCAAGCATTATTATTCATCCTCATTTTATTTTATTTCGTTTCATTTTTTTTTTGTTTTGTTTTGAGACAGTCTCACTCTGTTGCCCAGGCTGGAGTGCAGTGGTGCAATCTTGGCTCACTGCAACCTCCGCCTCCTGGGTTCAAGCAATTCTCGTGCCTCAGCCTCCCAAGTAGCTGAGACTACAGGTGCCCGCCACCACACCCAGTTAATTTTGTATTTTTAGTAGAGATGGGGTTTCGCCATGTTGGCCAGGCTGGTCTCGAACTCCCGACCTCAGGTGATCCACCTGCCTCAGCCTCCCAAAGTGCTGGGATTACAGGCCTGAGCCACTGTGCCCGGCCTTCAGCCTCATTTCATAGATGAGGAAAGAGAAAGCTGAGGCTTAGGTGTCTTGCCCACGGTTGCATAGCTAGAAAGCTGTGGGGGCCACAGTTTCAACCCAGGTTTTCTGACTTTGGAGCCTGAGCTTCTAAACAGTAGATGACATTCCCCCTCCCCCACAAAGGAGTGGAAACACCAGTTCTGGGCATCTCAGCTACATGAGCATACATGAAGGAAAGGTTTTAAACGTCGATGTAAATTTGTCAATAACGTAAAAATAAAGATGACCTGAATGTAGTACTTGGGAGGTCAAAACAGAAGCCATGAGTGGGTCTCAGAAGTGTGTCGCTCTGGGTCAGGGAGTCCTGCAGCAGCAAAGTCGCTTGCTCACTGTGGCCTGGAGCGGGGTAAGTAGAGAGAAGCGTGGCTTGCAACTTGGAATTCTAACTCTTTCCTTGCCACACTAACTTCTTTGGTGGTGCTGGGCATATCATGTAGGCTTTTTGTACTTCGGGGCTTCTCGTAGTTCTAAGTGAAATAACGATGTTAACCTTATCCAGAGAAGAATATGGCGGAAGTCCTAATCACTTAGTGTAAATTATTCTGAAAACCAAACTGCTCACGCGGAATGCTCTCTGCTGGCAGAGAAGTGAATGTTGCACTAGAGGACCTTCCAAGTGTCATTTAAAATTCAACAGTGACAGGCTTGCCTCCAGTAACTAAGGAAGATGACTTCACAGTCTGCTAGATTTTACAGTCATTGTTTTTACCTTGAAAACTTGCCTACACTTTCTTAATTTTAATTAAAATCCATCACTCCTTGAAAACCTCCTAAACTAGGTATGTTTCTGTCTTTGTTCTCACCCCTAGACATGGACTTCCTGAAAACAGTCTTGTTTTACCAGTTATTTTTATATTTTATACATATTCTAGTGGTTTCAGTCTTCACTTTGAGGCCATCCCTTCTAAGTTCTTTAATTACTGTGATCATACACTACATTTATCTTTCAGGCAATAAGATGTTCAGAACAGAGTGCAATATTTTAGATTAAGTTTCAGGCTGGGTGCAGTGTGTAATCCCAGCACTTTGGGAGGCCGAGGTGGATGGATCATGTGAGGTCAGGAGTTCAAGACCAGCCTGGCCAACATGGCAAAACCTCATCTCTACTAAAAATACAAAAATTAGCCAGGCATGGTGGTGCATGCCTGTAGCCCCAGCTACTTGGGAGGCTGAGGCGGGAGAATCGCTTGAATCTGGGTGGCAGAGGTTACAGTGAGCTGAGATTGTGCCACTGCACTCCAGCCTGGGCAACACAGTGAGACTCTGTCTCAAAAAAAAAAAAAAGTTTCAACTGAGCTATTTCACATAAAAGCAACACACTAGGATTCGTGATACATATGGAGTTCCTCCATATACCTGTAACCGGAGCCACACCCAGTGCTGTGCTGAGTGTTAGGGATGCAAAGATTAAGGACCTAGCTACCGGCCTCAAGGAACTTATAGTCAAATGGTTATAATACATAGATTTTTGAACCCTTAAATGGATGTCTCAAATCTTGAGTCAGAGCTCTGTAATTAACAATCATTTTGCACCTCAGCTTTGCACAGTGGGTTTAGAACTCTTCAGGAGTAATCAATTTAATAGAGAGAAAAGGGCAAATAAAAACACATATGGATAGCACATGCATGGCTATATTGTTAGTGATTAGGGAAGATCAGATTGCAGTCCCAGAGGGGCTGTGAAGATTGTCATGGATGAGTGGGACTAACTGAGAGACGCTTCCTGTAGGAAGTGGGCCTGCCTTAATGTAGCAAAAGTTTACATTATTTCTGAGCATTAATTACGTAATTTCATTAATAATGTAAATTATTTATTTACATAACTAATGTAAATTGAAGTTTACATTAACTACATGTAATTAATGTAAGTTAAAGTTTACATTAATTATGTTATCTCTTGCCTGTCTTTAGGGAGAACTGCTTTATGTATTTATTAAAATTTTATTTCAAATTGAGGGGTACACAGGCATGCTTGTTGCATGGGTATATTGTACACTGGGTTTCTGGTGTACCCATTACCCAGAGAGTGAACATAATACCTGATGGGTAAATTTTCAACCCTTGCTCCCTTCAAATCCCTGCCCACCCCCTTTGGAGGCCCCCGTGTCCACTGTTTCCATCTTTATGTCCATGTGGAGTCACTGTTTCGCCTCCATTTACAAGTGAGAACATGCGGTTTTGATTTTCTGTCTCTGAGTTAGTTCCTTAGGATAATGGCCTCCAGCTCCATCCATGTCACTGCGAAGGACATGATCTCATGCTCATGCTTTTTTATGGCTTTTTTTTTTTTAAGAGACAGTCTCACTCTGTTGGTCAGGATGAAGTGCAGTGGCATGATCATAGCTCACTGCAGCCTCGAATTCCTGGGCTCAAGACATCATCGCACCTTAGCCTCCTGAGTAGCTGGGATGACAGATGTACACCATAACTAGCTAATTAAAAAAAAATTAGTTGGGCGCCATGGCTTATGCTATAATCCCAGCACTTTGGAAGGCCAAGGCGGGCAGATCACGAGGTCAGGAGATCGAGACCATCCTGGCTAACATGGTGAAACCCTGTCTCTACTAAAAATACAAAAATTAGCTGGGCGTGATGGCGGGCACCTGTAGTCCCAGCTACTCAGGAGGCTGAGGCAAGAGAATCGCTTGAACCCTGGAGGCGGAGGTTGCAGTGAGCTGAGATTGCTCCACTGCACTCCAGCCTGGGTGACAGAGCAAGACTCTGTCTCAAAAAAAAAAAAAAGCAATGGGGTCTTACTATGTTGCCCAGGCTGATCTCAAATTCCTGGCCTCAAGCAATCCTCCTGCTTCGGCCTCCCAAAGTGTGGGGATTACAGGTGTGATGCACTGCACCCACAGCTTTCTAAATGTCTACCATGCAAAGTTGGGGTCATTGTCTCCTGAGTAGGAAGTTTGATGTTTCTGGCTTGCCTTTGTGCTTTTGATTTTCTCATACTCTTGAGACTCTGTATTTTCACACTTTATTTTCCCTTCTGCAGGAGTGTTGGCAACACCTCTCAATTTAGCTCATCCCCGCATTTTATCTGTTGCTTTTTATTCCCCCTTAGAGAACATTAAGATGAGCCCTAAGGCCAGAGCCGGGGACTGTGGGCCACATGTCACAATCTGTGGTCCAGAGCCTTTGGTTGTGTTTTCAATCCATGCACCTGTGTTCTTCTGGGAGATGAGATTTGCTAAGATTCGCTATAGTGAAAGTTTTATCTAAGTACACATCTCTCACCTCTTTTGGGGCCTTTTCATCTGTGGAATAAGTGAAATGGTCCAAAGGTAATCAAGTGTGCAAGACAGCCTCGTCTCTCTAGGACCTGGCTCTTCCTTGCTCCTCATCCTCCTGGACCATTAGTGGGTTTTTTCCTTCTTTCTCTTAGGACATGGTCACAGCTGTCTGCAGCAGTGAAGCTGGACATGAGAGAGCACAGCTGAACCCGGGCTGTGGGCTGTTTCCTCTCACCTGTTCTTCACCTGTTCTTGCCCACTCAGAGCACTGAGGCCCCTGGGTTTTATTACTGCTGCTTTCGTTGCCTGAGACACAGTCTTCATTGGGAGGGGCTTGAAAAGAACTCACTGGCAGGACCTAGTGCACAGCAGGCATTTAATAATGATTGGTCTTCGTCTCTCTGCAACCTGGCGAGTGGCATTGCACTCTGCAGCCTGCTGTTACATGCAGAGTCAGATTAGCTATGGCTAGTCATGGCTAGTCACGACTAGTCACAGCTAGTCATGGCCAGTCATGGCTAGTCACAGCTAGTCACGGCCAGTTATGACTAGTCACGGCTAGTCATGGCCAGTTATGACTAGTCACAGCTAGTCATGGCCAGTCACGGCTAGTCATGGCTAGTCATGGCCAGTCACGGCTAGTCACGGCTAGTCACAGCCAGTTACGACTAGTCACAGCTAGTCATGGCCAGTCACGGCTAGTCACGGCTAGTCATGGCCAGTTACGACTAGTCACGCTAGTAATGGCTAGTCACGGCTAGTTACAGCTAGTCATGGCTAGTCACAGCTAGTCAAGGCTAGTCATGGCTAGTCACTAGTCAAAGCTAGTCATGGCTAGTTATGGCTAGTTATAGCTAGTCAAAGCTAGTCATGGCTAGTCATGGCTAGTCACAGCTAGTTATGGCTAGTTACCTAGTCACGGCTAGTCATGGCTAGTCACTGCTAGTCCCATGACGGGATTCTCTGGGCACATCGTTCTTCTCCTGGGACTTGGTGTCCTCATCCTTCCTGTGGGGCGAGGAGGCTGCCTCCCTCACAGGTGGCTGTGAGAAATTATAAACTAATAAAGTGACTGCTTAGCAAATGGCTGAATGTCAGGGGCAATAGAAATGCTTCATTTCGTTTATTTGATAGTAGTTGGGTGGCCACATGAATGTTGCTGTGGAAACCATAACTCTTGAATTCCCTGACACGTACCTATGCTGTTGTTTTTAAATGAAGCTTTACACTTAAATCTTGTGATTTTTTTTTTAATGTTAGAAAAGTAGCAGGAAGGATCACAGCTTGATCTCCATCTCAGCCTTTCCATAGGAAACTGTGAGCTGCTACTGTCCCCACCCAGAAGCATCTACTGACCAGTTACTCTCACCTGATCCCTCTCTTTCTTCACCCAAGGTCATAGGTCTTCCATCTATCCATCCACCAGTCCACCCATCCATCCATCTGTCCACCCACCCATCTGCCCACCTGTCTGTCCGTCCACCTGTCCACCCATCCGTCCATCTGTCCACCCACTCTGTCCACCTGTCTGCTCACCCATCCACCTGTCCATCCATCCATCTGTCCACCCACCCATCTGTCCACCTGTCTGTCCACCCATGCATCCATCCATCCATCCATCCATCCATCCATCCATTCATCCATCCATCCATCCATCCATCATCCGTCTAGATACACTGCATTTCCAACTCATGAGTTGAATGGGCCCCATGTGAGTAGATCAGAACTGTTGATTTTCTAGTGAAACTTTAGAATTGAAAGGACTTCCTTGTGTGATGGAGACGTGATGGCAGATCCTGTGCAGCTGATGAGATGAAGGGGGAAGTGGCAAAGGGAGCATTTGCAGCAGTGATGGTGGAGGCTTTAGCAATTCCCTGCTGGTGCCCAGCCTCAGGCAGCACACAGCTGTGAGATGACAGTCAAGGCTAGAGGGCAACAACAGCACTGCTTAGAAAAATGGGTCTTGATTCTAAGCCTTCATTGGAGGAATCCTGGAATCCCACACCCCAGCAAGTCCCTCTCTCCCCTGAGCAGGTCCTCAGGTTGCTTCTGTAGTGTCTACCATGGTCTTTGAAGCCCTTCTCTGGGCTGTGTGTGCTTCTCTGCCCACCACCCTTACGGCTGACTCTGGTGGCCATCACTCCCGCAGCCGCTCCCATTCCTCCTGCACCTGCTGCGGCTCATATGGCTTAGGTGGAGACAGCCCATGCCTTTCTCCTAGCTATAGCGACTTTGTTCTGGCAGTTCTTTACAGAGTTCTGAATATCACAACTTTTTTTTTTTTTTTTTTTTTTTTTTTTAATTAAGCACACATTCTCAGTTCATTTTCTTTAATGGCTCTTCTATTCCAACAGCAATCAGCCAGTGTCTTTTCATGGTCCTCCCAGTGCTGGGGTTCCCTCTCCCAAGACGACATGCAGCTAGACCCCATGGGGACTCCAGCTGGACATGCTGGGACTCCTGAAGTGGGCACACAGGCTAACTCTCTCTCTGGGACTTTTGCTTCAGAGGGAAAAGACAATTGGATTATTGTGGCCGTATCTTTTCTTTTTTAAATGTAAGTTCTGGGATACATGTCAGAAAGTGCAAGTTTGTTACACAGGTATACATGCGCCATGGTGGTTTGCTGCACCCATCAACCCGTCATCTGGGTTTTAAGCCCCACATGCATTCAATATTTGTCCTAATGCTCTCCTTTACCTTGCCCCCATCCCCGACAGGCCCCGGTGTGTGATGTTCACCTCCCTGTGTCCATGTGTTCTCATTGTTCAACTTCCCACTTATGAGTGAGGACATGCGGTGTTTGGTTTTCTGTTCCTGTGTTAGTTTGCTGAGAATGATGGTTTCCAGCTTCATCCATGTCCCTGCAAAAGACATGAGTGCATTCTTTTTTATGGCTGCATAGTATTCCATGGTGTATATGTGTATTGTGGCCATATCTTTTCTAAATCAAATGCATCATCTACCTCCCACTTTTCTTGTTGTTGGAAATGGTATTTCATCTCTCTTGCCCAGCTCATGCCTGAAAATCATCCTTGCCTTCTCTGCACATCAGTTTAGTCTCCAAGCCTAGCTGATTGAGTGCCGAGAGCTCTGAAATCGATCCCTAATTTCCAACCCCTCCTTTACCTCTCCCATCACTTTCTAAAAACAGCATTATTGATGTATTTTACATATGATAAAACCCACCCTATTCAAGTGCACAGTTCAATATTTTTTAGTAAATTTACTGAGTGCTGCAGCCATCACCATAAATCAGTTTCAGAACATTTTCATCATCCCAATGAAGATCCCATTTACAATTAATCCCTGTTCCTATCCCCAGTTCCAGGCAACCACCAAGCTACCTTCTGTCTCTACAGATTTGCCTTCTGAACATTTCATATAGATGAAATCACACATTACGTCATCTCTCATGTCTGGTTTCTTTTAGTTAGCATGATACTTTTAGATTCATTTGTGTTGTGGTGTGTATCAGTATTTCATCCCTTTTTATTGCCCAGTAATACTCTATTTTTGGATACACCACGTTTTGTCCATCCATCAGCTGAGGCACGTTTTGCTACTTTTTGACTATCTATAAATAATGCCACTATGAACTTTCGTGGGCAAGTCTGTGTGTGAATGTGAACATACGCTTTTATTTCTCTTGGGATAGATACTTAGGAATGAAGTTGATGGACGGTACAGTGATTTTATGTTTAACTTTTTGAGAAACTGCCAAAGTGTTCTCCAGCGCAGCGCACCATATGACGTTCCCACCAGCAACGCATGAGGGCTCCCGTGTCTCCACATCCTCAACCATCTTGTCATTGCCTGTCTTTTTGATTACAGTCGTTCTAGTGGGTATGAAGTGGTGTCCTTTGTATTTTTAATTTTCATTTCTCTCATGATGAATGACGTGGAGCCTCGTTCCACGTGCTTATTAGCCCCACACAGAGCTTCTTTGATGAAATATCTGTCCATGTCTCTCACCCACTTTTGGATTAGGTTGTTTGTTTTCTTTTTTTTTTTTTTGAGACGGAGTCTCACGCTGTTGCCCAGGCTGGAGTGCAGTGGCGCGATCTCAGCTCACTGCAAGCTCCGCCTCCTGGGTTCACGCCATTCTCCTGCCTCAGCCTCCTGAGTAGCTGGGACTACAGGCGCCCGCCACTGCGCCCGGCTAATTTTTTGTATTTTTAGTAGAGACGGGGTTTCACTGTGGTCTCGATCTCCTGACCTTGTGATCCGCCCGCCTCGGCCTCCCAAAGTGCTGGGATTACAGGCTTGAGCCACCGCGCCCGGCAGGTTGTTTGTTTTCTAATTATGGAATTGTAAGGCCCTCCCGCCCCATCACTTTTTTTTTTTTTTTTTTTTTTTTTTTTGAGACAGGGTCTCACTCTCCCATCCAGGCTGGAGTGCAGTGGCACCAGCACGGCTCACTGCAGCCTCGACCTCCTGGGCTCAAGTGATCCTCCCGCCTCAATCCCTCAAGTAGTTGGGAATACAGGCGCGTGCCACCACACCTGGCTAATTTTTTAGTTTTGTGGAGACACGGTTCTCACTATGTTGTCCAGGCTGGTCTCAAACTCCTGGGCTCAAGCAATTCTCCTGCCTGTAATTTGAGTGCTGTTTAAAAAGTGTTAAATAAAAATGTTTCCAGGCACCCCCCCACCCACCCGCCAAGCGAATGATATCCTAGTCTAGTTCTCTTATGAATTCATTGGAACAGTCATCAATCATATAGGTAGTGGGGTTTTTTATTCTTTATTTTAACTTTCATTTTTGGTTCGGGGTGCATGTGCAGGTTTGTCACATAGGTAACCTTGTGTCATGAGGGTTTGTTGTACCAATTATCTCGTCACCCAGGTACTAAGCCTAGTACCCGATAGTTATTTTTTCTGATCTTCTCCCTCTTCCCATCCTCCACCCTCAATTAGGCCCAGTTTTGTTTTATTCTAAGTCCTGGACTTCCACAGCTTTTTACCTTTTTATGCCCCACCTGCTACCCACATCTTCCAGCTCAGATCCTAAGCTGTGTGTGGTTCCTGCTTGAGGACCAAGGAAGGGTTTATGTTTCTCCCTGGCACACTCCTTGGCTTTGCCTTTGAGAGAGAGAGAGAGAGAGAGAGAGAGAGAGAGAGAGAGTTTTTATCTGTTGCCCAGGAAGCACAGTGGCGCAAACATAGCTCACTGTAGCCTTGAACTCCTGGCTCCCTCTTACTCTGTTGCCCAGGCTGAAGTGCAGTAGCATGATCTCAACTCACTGCAGCCTCTGCCTCTGGGGTTCGAGTGATTCTCCTGCCTCATCCTCCCAAGTAGCTGGGACTACAGGTGCACGTCACCACACCTAATTTTTTTTTTTTTTTTTTTTTTTTTTTTGAGACGGTGTCTCGCTGTCACCCAGGCTGGAGTGCAGTGGCGCGATCTCGGCTCACTGCAAGCTCCACCTCCTGGGTTCACGCCATTCTCCTGCCTCAGCCTCCTGAGTAGCTGAGACTACAGGTGCCTGCTACCACGCCCAGTTAATTTTTTTTTGTATTTTTAGTAGAGACGGGGTTTCACCATGTTAGCCAGGATGGTCTCGATCTCCTGGCCTTGTGATCCGCCCGCCTCGGCTTGCCAAAGTGCTGGGACTACAGGCGTGAGCCATCACGCCAGGCCAATTTTTGTATTTTTAGTAGAGACGGCGTTTCACCATGTTGGCCAGGCTGGTCTCGAACTCCTGACCTCAAGTGATCCTCCTGCCTCGGCCTCTCGAAGTATTGGGATTACAGGCATGATCCACTGTGCCCAGCCTGATTTTTTGTATCCTGACTTTGGCTAGGCATGCAGCTGTGTGTGTGCAATGTGTGCATGTTGCTCATGTTGTGTATGTGTGTGTGTGTCTGGATGCTTTGTGGGCACACCCATCCTTTATCCTCTAGCTCCTTGTGATTCCTTTCTGACAAACTGAAACTTGCTTTAACTTCCTTTTAAAGTAATCTTTTTCTCATAATAATATTAAATTCGTCTTAGAAAACAGAATTAGAGGCTGGTCATGGTGGCTGATGCCTGTAATCCCAGCACTTTGGTAGGCTGAGGTGGGAGGAGGATCACTTGAGGCCAAGTGTTTGAGACTATCCTGGGCAACATAGCAAGATGCTGTCTGTATAAAAAAATATAAAATAATTAGCCAGGCATGGTGGTGTGTGCCTGTAGCCCAGCAACTAGAGGTTGCCAGCTGCTTGGGAGGCTGAAGAAGGAGGATCACTTGAGCCCAGGAGTTCAAGGCTATCGTGAGCTATGCTTGTGCCACTACACTCCATGCTGGGCAACAGAGTAAGATCCTGTCTCAAAAAAAGTAAAAAGAAAACAGAATTAGAATTAGCAACTCCCCACAAAGAATTGTTATGCTTTTAATATTTTGGTGTTAAAATCTAATCTTTTTTTCCTGATATGCATGTAATTATCTTTTGGTTTACTGAATTATCATCATATTGTATATACTTTACTTTTTAACTTAACACTACTATATAATCAATATCTTTGCATTCCATTATTCTTTCATGAGCATTTGTAAGGGCTGCAGGGTATTCCACTGTCTGACTAGACTGTAAGTTGTTCATTTTTTTTAAGAAATGGGGACTCAGTATGTTGGCCAGACTGGAGTGTTGTGGCGCCAGCATAGCTCACTGCAGCCTTGAACTCCTGGGTTCAAAACATCCTCCAGCCTCAGCCTCCTGAGTAGCTGGGACCACAGGTGTGTGCCACTGTACCTGGCCTAGACTGTGAGTTATTAAACCCATCCCCACTGTTGTGCATTTAGGCTGTTTTACTCCCCTTCGCCATTATAAACAGCGCTACATTGGATGCTGTGATCCCTTTGCAAAGCAGGTTACTTCTGTGGAATTGGCAGCACAGGTCGAGGTTGTGAGCATCTGGACCCCAAGGTCAGTGGGCTGAGCACACACTGTCTGACCCTCCTCACTCTTTCTAATCTTCTTACAGTCTTTTAAAATCTTTTTAAAGTTTTCTTTGCCAACCCCAAAACAAAATAAAATTAACAACCAAAAGAAATTTGTCACTCTGACTACACAAATTTGGTTCATATCTTTTCTCTATATATACCTTCATCATCTGAACTTTCAATTTCAGACTGAAATCAAGGCTTGGAATTTAGCATGGAAGGAATTTATAAGGCTGAAATGATTAATGATTGAAATGATATTTCAAGAGTGGAAACCCTTTCTCAGCTTGCAGGATAACAACCGTCCTCTTGTACCACAATAAGGACCAAGCACACAGATTCACGTTATCAGCTTGCTGATGGCTCTCTAGCGGCCCCCGCATGATCATATGGTCCTCAGAACACCAGAAGATCATATGCAAATATTGACTGCATATTCATCAAGATACCACATGGCCAGGGTAAGCTGCTTTAATTATCCTTCAAGGAGAAACACAGCCGTCTCTAGCACATGCACTCCGCTGGCTCTGTTGGCATGTTGGTGCCTGAATTGATATGGAAATTATTTCAAAAACAAAATATTAAAGAGGAGTGAAATCTGCTATATTGTACATTCAACTTAGCAATTAGAAGTTGCCAGTCTTTTTTTTTTTTTTTTTAAACAGTCTTGCTCTGTCCTCCAGGCTGGAGTTCAATGATGCAATCTTGGCTCACTGGAACCTCTGCCTCCCAGGTTCAAATGATCCTCCCCTCAGCCTCCCAAGTAGCTGGGATTACAGGCACCCACCACCACACCCAGTTTTTTTTTGTATTTTTTGTAAAGATGAGGTCTCATTATATTGCCTAGGCTGGTCTTGAACTCCTGGGCTCAAAGAGTCCACCTGCCTCGGCCTCCCAAAAGTGCTGGGATTACAGGTGTGAGTCACCGCAGCTGGCTGGTTTTTAATTTCTGATTTATACTTTCAGACTTTCAAAAACATAATGATATAATATATTTTAGCTATAAAATTTATGATCTATTCACCCCGAGGTATAAATAAGGGGAAAGCTAAGTTACATTCTCTGAGATATGAAAGTCCCGTGAGGCATTCCCAAAGAAGTTATGTCCGTTTAATAATTAAGCAACAAGGACTATGGAATAACAATTTCATTCTTAGCCAGGTAATGGACTTTAGCTTTCTTTGCACTTGGTACTCATGGATACACCAGAAAGATACACTTTTCGCCCAGGGATATCAATGGAATCAATACACTGATGTTCATAGACGCTCTTGGCGACCAGGCGCGGTGGCTCACGCCTGTAATCCCAGGACTTTGGGAGGCCGAGGTGGGCAGATCAGTTGAGGTCAGGAGTTCAAGACTGGCCTGGCCAACATGGTGAAACCCCATCTCTACTAAAAATACAAAGATTAGGCAGGCGTGGTGGTGCATGCCTGTAGTTCCAGCTACTCGGGAGGCTGAGGCACAAGAATCACTTGAACCCGAGAGGTGGAGGTTGCAATAAGCCGAGATCTTGCCACTGCACTCCAGCCTGGGGAACAGAGTGAGACTCCGTCTCAAAAAAAAGCTCTTGGCTTTTGTAAGCCAGTATATAATTTTTTCATTCTTAAAGTGTCTTTTCGCACCTAAATCTTGAAGTAATACTGTTAGCATCCTCAAATGTGAAGAATAAATACATGTATATTTATAATCTATATCATTCATCTATGAGTAAAGATTTCAGTTGCAACACTGAAATTCCTCAGTCTAATAGAGAATAAAATTATAGCTACAGGCTGCTAACTCATAGAAAGAAAACCCTTGAAACAACAAGAATTCCAAAAGCCCAAGGTAGATCTAAAAAAGCCACCGTTAAAACTAGAATTAGGGAGTATCTTATGTATGACATTGAATTTCCCAAAGAAAATCTTATAGACTGACAACAACAATAACAAACCTATTTAAGCGCCCTGGAGAATGGCCAGAAGCAGGCAGACACTGGAAGGGGTTCAAAGATCTAATCCTTAAAAGAAGGGTTATGTGGCCCTTCTTCCAGTCTGCTGAGCACTGTGACTAGACCACAAGAAACAAGCCACTCGTATGGGTTTGAGCGTTCTGTGGTGAAGTTCAGGGCTGTCAGAGTAGCTGGAGACGGGGAAGGAGAATCCAGGAAAGGAGAGAGCCACACTGAGGCAGTCCTGAAATCCACTAACATTTCCCTCAAATCTGGCTGATAGATTTGAACTCTGAACATCCAGAAGAGCTGCAGGAAGGCGAGAGAAGGCAGAAACTGCATGGTGAAGGAGCTGAGCAGAGACTGCAAGTGCTGTCCAGAGCACAAAGCAGAGCTTGGAGTCTGAGTTCCAAGTCAGAGGGGACTGGCAAAGCCCTTAGGCTTTCCACTGAAGCTGCAGAAGGGCGGCGCCTCAGGGCTAAAGAACAATCCCAGGACTAAGGGATTTTCCTTAGATCTAAGGGCAAAAGCCAGTTAGAACCACTCAAAGAAAGCAAAAAACCAAGCCTCTTCAAGTTCAGGGTGACCCAGCGGTAACTTACTTGCCTGCTAGAACAAAAATCAATACTCCTCAAGGAAGAGAATAGAATCTAGCATCTCTATGATGTAGCATCTACAGTATTCAATATACAGTTAACATTTATTGAATATGAAAAGAAACAGGAAAATATGATTCAGTCGGTAGAAAAATCAGTTACTAGAAAGCGACCCCAAATGAGTCAGAGGTTGGAATTCTGACAAGAACTTTAAATATGCTACTATAACTATGTTTAAGGATTTAAAGGGGGGAGAAACAGAGAAATGGAAACACACACACACACGCACACACAATTTTTGGATCAGCTGCATCAGCTTAACAGTGGATTGGAGGCAGCTGAAGCAAAGGTTGGTGAACGTAATAAAGGAGCAATAGAAATGATTCAGTCTGTAAAGAGGTAAAAATGGAAATAATGAACAGAGTTTCAATAACCTATAAGACAATATCAAGCACTGTAATAACAAACATGTAATTGGTGTCTCAGAAGGAGAGGAAAAAGAGAGAACAGGGCGGAAAAAAATATTTGAATAAATAGTGGCTGAAAATCCCCCAAATTTGGTAAAAAACTTACAGATCAATTTATAGATCCTAGAAATTCAGCAAACCCTAACCAGGATAAATACAAAAAGTAACACATATAGAAATATTATAGTCAAATTACTGAAAATCAGAGGCAAAGAAAGAATCTTCAAAGAACTCAGAGAAAAACAGACACATTACCTACAGGAGAATGTCCATATGAATCACTGCTGACCTCTCATCAGAAACAAGGAAGGCCAAAAAGCAATGAATGACATCCTCAGAGGGTTGAAAGAAAAACAACTGTCAATCAGGAATTCTACATCTAGTTAAACTATTCTTCAAACACAAAAGTGAAACAAAGACATTTTCAGACAAGCAGCATCTGAGAGAATATGTTGCCAGGAGACCCTTGCTATAAGAAACACTAAAAGAAATGACCCAGTTAGAAACCTGGCTCTAAAGGCTAAATAAATAAATAAATAAATAAAGAGTCCCAGACATGATAAAACCGGGTAAATATAAAAAACTTAAAATTTTCTAGTGTCACTGAAAGGCAACAGATTGTTTAAAGTAAAATTGATAAGATTGTATTGTGGGTTTTATAATGCATGTAGATGGAAAATATATCAAATTAGTAGCACAAAGTCAGAAGGTAAGATGGAGTGGCTGCAAGTTACATTTTAGGTGAAGCGGCGCCGTGTTAACTGTAAGTAGCCTATGAAATGTTAAAGATTCATATTATAGGCCGGGTATGGTGGTTTCATGCCATAATTCCAGCACTTTGGAAGGTGGAGGTGGGAAGACAGCTTGAACTCAGGAGCTTGAGACCAACCTTGGCAACACAGGGAAACCTCGTCTCTACTTAAAAAAAAATTAGCCCGATGTGGTGGTGTGCACCTGTAGTCCCAGCTACTAGGGAGGCTGAGGAGAGAGGATCCTCTGAGCCTGGGAGATGGAGGCTGCCGTCAGCCATAATAGCGCCACTGCACTCTAGCCCAGGCAACAGAGTGAGCTCCTGCCTCAAAAAAAAAAAAAAAAAAATCCATATTATAATCATGAGAGCTAAAAAGCCAACAGAGAGGTGAAACTGGAACACTGAAAAGTTATTCAATTAACAAAAAAAGGCATGAGAGAGAAGAATGAAACAGAGTACAGACAGAAAACAGACCCATACTAGCAACAACATGAAACTCAAAAACCTGTGTTAAGTTTAAAAAGCCAAACCCAAAAGAGTCCATGCTGTACGCATTCTATGAATTAAAACCTTCCAGATCAGTCCAGAACAGTAGTTTCTTAGGAGAGGTGGGGATTGCCTGGGAAAAGGCAGATAACCTTCAAGAGGGACAGGAATTTATAGATGTTGATTGAGGTGGCGGCCTACGCAGAGTACACGTTTATCAAAATTCATAGAACTGAACAATTAAAATGTGTGCATTTCATCTTATGTACATACATTTTACATAAACATCAATTTTTGAAAGCTTCTTAAAAACTCTTGCAGAGCCTCCGGTTGTAAACTTGGATCAACAGAGGGCGCTCGGAGCCCACCAAAGAAGCTCTGGGCCCCCAGCTACTTAGAGATGCAAACCAGAGCAGCTCTGGGCTCCCCGGTCTCCAAGGTGGATCGCGCAGCTCCCCAACACTCCCCCCTCGACGCCCCACCTTGCCCACCCGCGGCCTCGCCGGCTCGTTTCTACCACACGCTGCTTTTTGGCTGATAAGCGGCGCGTGGCCAATGGCGATGATGTGTTCCGCGGAACCTACGCGGAATACAGATGCGGGTGGGAGCTGGGGCGTGCTGCCTGGAGGTGTACCTGTCCCCTAAGGTCCCCTATTGATAGCATCGCTTTAAAATTGGAAGTGGGAACGTAATGGAAACGTCCACTCTGTTCTTGACATCTTCATTTTGACCTTTTTACCTCGCTTTGGTGGCTGCGAAATATTCCCACGCAGGAGCTGGAGCCGGGGAGGAGGGGGGCAGAGCACGAGAGGCACAGAAGAAATTCTCCCCGAGGAAGGCAGAGTGGGGGTGTGGCCCCAGGCTTCCAGAACCCCGAACCTTTGTCTTCCTGCCCCCTCCTGCCTCGTCCACAGCTCAGAAGGAAGCCAGCGACCAGAAAGCCCTGAACGTCCTTCGCGCTCTCGCCCACCCCCGGGCTGGGGCTCCCCGCGGGCGCGGAGATGCCATTACACCCCACGTGATCCCCACGCCGGGCCGGTCCTTCCAGGGGCGTCTCGCGGGGTGTTAATTAAAGGTCACAACAAAACAGACCTGCTGGCTCACCAGAAGTAATGTCCTCCCGGGAAATGAAAAATGACACCCCAGAGCAGCCACGTGTGGAGCCTGGCGTACGCCGGCTTCCTGCGCTCCTGGGCGCTGCTCCGGGGGACTGGGGGGGCGATCGGAGAGGGAGCGATGACGGGGTGCTCCGGAGACCCCGCGGGGCCCAGGCGCAGGAAGAAACGGGCGGCGGGGGGCGAGGGGGCTGATCCCCCGCAAGGAGAGGCCAAGGCCGGCTCGCGCCACACCCCCTCTCCAGGCCAGAGTCGTCCGCGTGCAGCGCGGCGAAGCCCTCAGTTTCCCCTGCCCGGCAGCGGCCCGCTGGGTCCCCAGGCTCACCTGTCCCAGTCCCGGGCGGCTTAGTCCGTCACAGACCGGGGCTCGGGCGGGCGGGGGACCAAGGGCCCTAGTCCGGCGGCTGCGGTCGGGGAGGGTGGCCCCCGGCCGGCCCGGGGTCGGTAGGGCCATTCCAGAAAAGGTTTGCCGGGCAGGTCTCCGAGAACAAAGGGCGGGGGGAGGACCCGGCATGTTTGTGGACTTGTTTGTGACTCAATCCCTTCTGCACGGCGTTTCAAAGACAGACCTGCAAGCCTTGTCAGGAAGAGAAAGAACTTGGGGGCGGGGGAGGCTGGGGCGCCGCATTTCCGTCCAGCCGCGCTCGCTCGCGCGGCCCCTGAGCTCCAGGCTCGCGCAGCGGCGTTTCATTAGAGCCCCGGGCCCGGGCGGCGCGCCAGGAACTTCCCCGCACGCAGCGAGAGCGACGAGCCCCCGCCCCCGCCCCCGCCCCGGCCCGGCTCCAGGCCTCGCACTGTCAGGCACGAGCGCCGCCACATAAAATGGATCCCGGCCGGCGCGGCGAGGGCGGCAGGTTCCCGAGGCTCCTCCGCGCCGCGCCCGGGCGCACACGCGCGCTCTGACCGCCGATCGCTCCCGGGCCCCGCGGAGCCGCCCCTCTCCTGGCCCTCGCGCAACTGTCAGGCGAAACGGGCCGGCGGATATTGGCTCGGCGACACGCCGAGGCTCCTCCCCGAGTCTGGATCTTTATATTTTGGGAGAATTTCTTTGAACTCAGTTACCAAGCTCGGTGAAGGAGACAAGTTCCCACCGCCGGCTCGGCTGGGCTCGGCTCGCCCAGCCCACCTTCCCGCGGCGGCCGCGAGCCCCGATCGTATCCCTCCCTGCCCTCGTGGGGGAGCACGGACCGACTTGCCTGAAGAAAATGCCAGTGCTGTGGTTGTGACCGTGACAAGAGAACGTGCAGCTGGAGCAGGCAGACGGGGATGAGGAAAAGCATGCTTTGAAGAGAAGAATAAACCCGCGACCCCAACCCTTTCTGCACGTTGGTGCTATTACTTGTGGGGTCCGTTTGCTCTCGTTCCCTCCCGCCCCACCGCGGAAGAAACCTTGCCTTGAGGGCTGAGAGCCAGCCCCCTGCAGCCGGGCGACGCTTCTGGGTCGGAGGACCTTCGGATGTAGCGTTGGTGGAACCTTCAGATACTCTCCTCTGGAAAAGCCACCATGAATTCGGTAGCTGGGAATAAAGAGAGGCTTGCGGTCTCCACCAGGGGCAAGAAATACGGGGTAAGTAGTGACGGTACGACGCGGAGGCGCGTTACCAGACCCATCTCGGCGGGGGTCCCCCTTTCCCCGGGATCGTGCGGCCCCGGCCCCGAGCTCTCCCCGCTGCAGAGGCGCCCCCGGGGCTGGCGGGGCTGTGAGTGCGCGGAGGCGGGTCTGCCGCGGGGACGCCCGCACACTCGCCTCGCTCTCGGAATTTTTTCAGTCCTCTCGTTCCTTCCTTTCCCCGCACTCGTAACTTTTGCGGCATTCCTGCGCTTCTAGGCGGAGTGAAGCCGAAGGGGAGGGTTTCCCATGAATGCTTGGCCGTACCTCGGATCGTTTAGTTGGAGCCGGGAGAGCCTCTCGTTTACCTGCAGTATCCGGAGAGTTGGACCCCGTAGGAATAAAAACCCTGAAATCAAAGCCCTCCCCCTACCCCCCCATAGGGTCTTCCAGGATTTCGTTCCTGGGGTATTGCTGGAATAGGTGCCGGCTTCAAAAGCGTGGGGCACTGAACCTGTGGGTCTCCCCGGCCTTGCAGAAGCCGTGGAGACCGCCCCTAGCGAGTCCTCGTCCTGACCCCAGGAGGAGGCCACCCGGGACCAGCGCAGGGGTCACCCGGGCGGCGGGGACTCACTTAAGGACAATTAACGAGACAGATGGAGGGCGATTTGGCCGCAGGGCTTGGAGAGGTCCCCAACCAGCTCCCATGGGCGGTTCGAGCAGGTACTTGGTGGCGCACGTCTGACCCAGCTCCTGGGCGCTGCAGCCCGCCGCCTTGCGGCCCTTGATACCGGCGTGTCTTCCCCGCAGGTGAATGAAGTCTGCTCGCCCACCAAGCCCGCAGCGCCCTTCTCCCCGGAAAGCTGGTACCGCAAAGCATACGAGGAGTCGCGGGCCGGGAGCCGGCCCACTCCTGAGGGCGCGGGCTCAGCGCTCGGCTCCTCGGGGACCCCGTCTCCCGGCTCGGGCACCTCGTCCCCGAGCTCCTTCACCGGCTCCCCGGGACCCGCCTCCCCCGGCATCGGCACTAGTTCGCCGGGTTCCCTGGGCGGCTCGCCCGGCTTCGGCACCGGCTCCCCGGGCTCCGGCAGCGGCGGCGGCTCCTCCCCCGGCTCGGACCGCGGCGTCTGGTGCGAGAACTGCAACGCCCGCCTGGTGGAGCTCAAGAGGCAGGCCCTGAAGCTGCTCTTCCCGGGGCCCTTCCCGGGCAAGGTGAGCGCCGCGCGGGGCTGGCTGGGGAGGCGCCGGGAGGGCGGGGCCGGGCCAACACCCACAGCAGCTGCCCAGTCCGCCGCGACCTTGCGCCCCGGGTCCACGCGAGGGTCCCCGGCGGCGCTGGGGCTGCTCCACACCTCATGGGGCTCTGGCACGCGGGGCGACCCATGCACCTTGCTCAGCCAGGCCGCCCGGGGGCAGGAGGGCCGAGTCCCGAGCGCGAAGGGGCGCCCGTGGCCACAGGCCTCACGGCCCACGGGGGAGGCCCCCAGGTGGTCTCTCCTGCCGCCCCCTCCCAGCTCTCCCTGGCGACTGCAGGCTGCGCTGTCGATGTTTCTCCCCACCCCCACCTGTGATCCTTTACAAAAATGTCAGCGGGAGTGTAAAAGCAAGCTGATGCTTGGAGCTGGCATTTCCCACTGCCTGTTTGTGGTCCATCCTTTCCGTGATTGCAGAAACAGAAACATACTCGAAAGCCAGCATTTCCCCCTTGTCAGTCTGCGTGTATGACTGGGGAAGATCCAGAAGCGGGTAGCTCCTCGGAGCAGTGCTCCCTCCTGGCCTGCTCCTGCGCCAAGCACACTGGTTCCTCCATAGCAACCCTGCCCGCGGTGTGTGACTGGCCGGAGCCCCCAGAGGGTAACAATGCAATTGTATTTGCACTGTTGGGTCCATGTACTATCAAATGATAATATTTACTCTTCCACTTCAAAGAGTTTTTATCAGTGGTTAGAGAGCAATATCAAGGAAATAGAGTGGATTGCTGTGGAGGTTTTTGACACTGTTGGTTCAACGTCAATTTCTGTTTATTATTTCCGTGACTTTAGAAATGAAATACTGTGATTTCCAGTAGGCGTTTAGGAATGACCGCGTCTGCTGGCCTCATCTGCGTATGCAGATACACACGTTGATGTTTTCATAGGCAAGGGTTAAATTCAACAAATGCCCACAGATGCCGTGAAATTTAAAATGGGGAAAATGACCACCAGGAGAATTGGTTTTATGAATGCAGAACTTATCTCAAGAATAATGAACTCGTGGATGGTTGTCAGTGTACTGTTTTTGTAGTTTGATACATCTGCCATGACATCCCAAGGATAAATCTCAGGGAATCAAAAAGCTTATTTCGATCTTGCATGCTAGACCTTCCGATTTAACACCATTTCTTCATTCACAGATTTATTTGCTCTCGTGATCCTTCATCAATATTCATTGATTTTCTACCCCATCCCAGCACTGCCAGGCACAGCAATGAAAATACCAGGTCCATTCATGCAATCCTTGTCCACGTGGAGCTTATATTCTAGTGGAGGATACAGACAGATATCAACCACAAAATGCACAGTTCACAATGTCTTCACATTTGTGGAGGGAGTGTAGGATGCTGTGAGGTTGTTGAAGTGGATGGGAGCATCTAATAAAGATGGAAGAACCTTGGTTCTTAAAGATCTAACAGCTGATATTTGGCAGTCCTAATATGTTACAGCCTTCCAAATTATTTTAGACCTTTCTTGAGGACCCATTCTTATAATAGGCTTTTTGTGGCATTGAGTGTTCCTGTATGCAAAGGTAAATCCAAATACACTCTTCTCATTTAAAAAAAGAGGAGGGGAAGGAAAATCTACCGAAGAAACAAATGTTGAAACTCGTATGCATCCATCATGTTTTATGGAGTCTTGTGACCAGCTGGGATTTTGTTTTTACAGAAACAGCCTGGAACATTCACTCACAGTGTTATGGGAGGCAGCTCAATATATTTGCCAATTTTATGTCTGTGATGAGGTAAAACTTGTTGGTAAACCGATTGTATTGTATTGTCAGAGTGAGGTGATGGCCCCAGAAGAAACACTGGATTTGCTGAACCCCATGCTCTACAATGACTCAGAGTGATCCAAGGACATCTAGAGAAGACCTGGTAGTCGTGGGGGCAGTCACAGGGGATCACTTTAAGTGCATATGTGAATGTCACATAGTACCACAGTCGCCTGAGTTTTATATGTGAAGCAGCACCATAAAATGTGACATTTGGTGCAAGGGCATAGACAGGGCTTAGCCAGGAAGAAGGGTGCTTTGCATCAGCTCATTGTTAGTAATGAGATGTGGGGCCTCAATGAGCCTTTGTGAATAACACTTGTGTGTGTGTGTGTGTGTGTGTGTGTGTGTGTGTGTTTTAAGCATTCCTACCTTGCATTTAGGTACAATTTCCATTATACCTTTAGCATTTGCAACATTATAGCCAAACAGTTGCCGTGTTCTCTGGTGCACCATGGATGGAGGCCATATAACTTGGATAAGATCGTTCTTCCTGGCGCAATATTAATGAACAAACTGGGGACCACTGTGGCCCTCAGGCACAGAAGGAGTTAAGTTTCATCAGAACAAGAGGCGTCACTGTGACTCCAATATGAAGTTCCCTCAGTTTGCTCTGAAGAGTAAGAGTCTGGAAGATAAAGACATGTTTTTGAGGGGTAATTAACAAAAATCATCTTTGTAATTTGCTTAAGATGCTTACCTTCATTGGGGAAATATTTTCTTAAATAGAGTGTTAAATTCTACTAGGTGGTATTAAATGTCTCCTAGGTAGATATTTAAAAGTCAAAAGCAGAATAGCACATCCAGGAACCTTATTATTTTAGGATGGATTTGATTTTAGTTCTTCCTTCACCACTTATTTATTTTGTGACATTGGGTAAATTAGTTTTCCTCTCTACTTTTTAACTTTCCTATTAATATGCTCAGGAAGAAAATGATTCAGACTGTTAAAATGTCATTAAAATGATCTAAGGTAAGGTTTCATTCTTTAGAAAAAGATATGAGAGTTGATGATTATTAATGAGCTAAGATTCTGTTAGATTTGTGTTTTACAGAATTTAAAGTTTTTCTTATAAGTTATTACCCCTGTCAGTTTCTAATTTCATCTGTGTATTTTCTAAACATGCTGCTGTATGAGTTCTCACACTGTGCCTGTTGGTAGGTAGCAAGCCCTATCGAATTCCCCCAGTTTTGTCTTTGGAACAGTTTAAGGAGGGGAGGTGAAGTAGTAGAGAGCCCATCTGGGTATCTGGTTGGTCCCAGGAGCTAGTGCCTGGCTCTGGTGGCCTGAGAAGAAGCATCCTATTCTGAGCACTCCAATGGAGGATAGGGCTTCATGGCACAAAATGACATGATTTGAATGTAACAGTGTGGGGGATAGTGTTGGCTGAGGTAGGAAATAGGAGGAGACATGGAATTGGATGGAGCTCAGAGGGAAGGATGATCATGAGTTTGGTTTTCCATGCATCGAGTCTCAGCTTTCTGGAAAGAGATGGAGCATGGAGGCAGATTTAATAATAAAACTGTTTGTTGTTGGCTATCTCAAGACTGGCATGTAGAAGTGACAGCTGTGGGCTCACATAGCTCTGTTGTTGATACTCTATTCATCCTTTCCGATAGCAACTTACCTGGTGAGTAGACGTTTGTGCTTGGTGGCAGACTGTAAAACACTCAGGTTGACTTTTATTACTTTGATCAGTACAAAAAGTACTTACTGGGTTTATATCATTTCTCTGTTGGTGCTGGTGAGAAGTGGTCAGATAAAAGAATGTGAACATGTAAAGTGTTGCGATTTCAAGTGAGAACGGCCCTTTTACCCGTTGTAGTGTTCCAGTGTGTGCATACAAAACCATTTCATGTCCAATGGCAAGAGCATCATTACTGTTTTATAGACAGTCAAGGCACTAAGCCAGAAATAGGGGCCAAGGAACGAATTGCTCAGTTTTGGGCTAGCCTAGATCATTCTGATATCTGTGACAGGACTTTTGAATGGACTGGGCAAGTCCTAGGAAACATCAGCCCAACGAAATTCCCCGGAGTAAGCAGTAAAGCTCCTGGTTGGCAAAAGGTTATCAGACATCTGTTCATTTCCATATCAATAAAAGAAGATCTTTTATGTAAAAAAAAAAAGTGCAGAACTATGTTCCTATCTGATTGTTTCTCAGTCAGATATTCGGAATCCATTTATGCCCCAGAAATATCAGGAAGATTAGCCAGACATACTGAGAAGGGTGGCCAGGAATCATAGAGATGAAAGAAAGGAATGCGTCATAGGGGTTAAAAACGCCAACCGTGGACTCTAAATAGCCAGAGACCAAGTAAGTCTAGACTTGGGGAGATATAGATATCCCCACACACATATTTCTGTATTTTGCCAGCTCCAAAAGACGGGTATGAGAAAATAACTAGATGCAAAAAGTCCCCCCAAAGCCATCATAAAACATTTTATAGATAGGATAAAACAGACATTGCATTTCAAGTACTTATTAATTATAAGGGACTTCTAGATGAAATCTTCTCTTTCTTCTAAGAACATGTGGCTATTTTCAAAAAGCTTCATTTGAGTCTTTCTCATATCAGAAGTATTTTAGATAAAGGAGCAGTTAATAGATAATAGCAGTCATGAAAAACTCCTGCAGCGTTTATCATTTGAAAATTTCTGAAACATTTTGGGAGTTTAGAAAAACATTCCCAGGAGGGACATGTGAGCAGTAATCTCTTGTTAAGGCTTAGCAAGCCGTGGAATAATGGCAGTTCATTCTACCAGACTATTAATTGTGAAGCAACATGGTCAGTTTTTATAGTGACTTAATTCACTTTGCAAAAATCCCTGGCCTGCAATAATTCCTTCCACACCCATTGCAGATAGGATTACTACATTAGAAATGTGATTTTTAAATGGCTGAGGCTGGTAGTTTGTCAGCATTTGGAAGGATTAAGTCAATTAAAATGGAGGCAACATTAGTTGCCTTTTGTTATTTGGCACCATATCACAGATTGTACCATTCGTGGGCCAACAATAGTGACGATAGTAATAATAATAATGATGTAATGAATGGCTAACAACTGTTGTCCTGCATACCAGGAACTGCACGGAAACACACACACACATCATCTCATATATAAAAATGAAGATGAACGTGATTTTTTCTTTTTTACCGTGAAATGCCAGGTTCTTGATGTGG